GTTTCAAGGGCGCCTGCATGGCTACCTTCCTTACTGGGTCTGTTGTTGCGCAGTCCGGGAGGTTGCACACCCGCCGGGTGATCTCAAGCAGGCAGGCAGCTGCACATTGCAAGATTTGAGGGCATTGTTCCCAAGGCTTCTGACACCAGTTGCAAGTTTGAGAGGTTTCCAAACCAGCTTCAGTTTGATGATTTACTAGAGGGAAGCTGTTAAACTTATGGCTATGGCTTATTGCGGGGAGAGATTATGTAGATCAACTTCAGCCAAGGGAAGGAATACATAGGGCAAAATTTGGAGGGAAGGACAAACAAAGCTTCTGTTTTCTGTCAGGATGTGTTATCTTCCAAGCATAGATGTGTGACTGTATTACTGGATAATTAATTACAAGATGGTGTCTGTCCGTTGGACTCATTCAAATTCCAAAGAGATTCTTTTTAACTTAATTTTGGTCTCATAATCCCCAATATTCATTTGTGTCTCAAACGTTTATCTACATCCCCATTCTTATTAGAAAATGGGGTGTATACGCTTCTGAATGATGCTGAGCTAGTGGGTCATCACCCTTCTGTGATCAGCCCCACAGAAAGACTCTTCTTTTTACATTAATAAATGTGTATGCTTTTTCATCTATTTAATCTTTATTAATTTATTTCAGTGAACTTTCATAGCATAGAGGGAAAATTTCCCTGGTCCCTTCAACCCTTAAGTATTGAAAATCAGGAGTAGTCTTCACCTTTTCTGTTTAATTCTGTTATGTTTTTGTATTTTTGAGGCAGGGTCTCACTATGTAGTTGAGACTGATGTGGGACTCACTAGGTAGCCCAGGCTGGTCTCGAACTCACAGCGATCCTCCTGCCTCAGCCTCCCAAGTGCTGGGATTACAGGCATATGCCACTACGCCTGGTTTAATTCTGTTATGGTTTCTATTATAATTGAGCTAAAAAATAATAAACTATTCAGTTCCTGAATATGTTAAGTTGTGAGGTCTCAGATCAAATCTTGGGGCAGCAAAAGGACATTTGTGGAATAACTGGTGAAACACGAAATTATAATTTGGCTGTTAGTATTGTACCACAGGCAATTTCTTGGTTTTGATCATAGTACCAGAATAACAAGGTGTTTGTGTTAAGAGATGCTCATAGGGAAACATAGGAATCCTAGCCAGAGGTGCTTTTCTGAACAACTGTAGTATAAAAGATATGTATGGCTATTACCTTGATAGGTTTAGCAAATAAAAGCCTGAAATGAGACAACTTAATGAAACATTACTCTGGTCACCCTGACTGTGCTTCTGGCTTATAAACAGCTGTATGACCAGGATAGGTTGGGCAAAATTGGGCACTCTGTCAACTCTGGCACAAAACTTAAGGAAATGCTAGCATAACTCAGTAATCAAAATAAACAGTATTTAAGACAATAGCTTTAAACATCAAAATTACTGCAAAAATCAATGATGATGATAAAACCATCCAAATTGTTAATAAACATTGTCTTGACCTGACTGAATGAAAGGCAGATGTGGTAGAGGGTCACATTTCTAGTGCTACCACCTTTTTTGTTTTTTGACACAAAAAACTACTTACTATGTAGTTCAGGCTGGCCTTGAACTTGTGATCCTCCTACCTCAGCCTCCCATGTTCTGGAATTATATAGGAATGCACCACCACGTCTGCATGCCACCAGCTTACTACAGAATATCACAATTTTTGGGCCATATAAATTATTATAATTTTTTCTGAAATTAGAAAAATAAAAAAATGTACTTCATCAAGATGGCTATCTTAAAACCAAAGAAAACAAATGGACAATAACAAATATATGGAAAAATGTGGACTCATGCATTGTTAAGGGAATATAAAATGGAGCGGTCACTGTGGATTCTCAAAAAAAAACAAAAACAAAAACAAAAACAAACAATTATCATATGATCCAGAAGTTCCCTGGAAGCAAAGTTTCAATTAAATACTTGCATACTGTCTTAGTTACTTTCCTGGTCACTAGGACTCAATACACCAACAAATTAAAGGAGAAGAGGTTTATTTGGCTCATATTTTTAGTTCAGAGTCCACTGGCTCAGAGGCGGGGGGGGTATATGGCAGAGGAGCACTGCAGAGTTATATTCTACGGTTGTTCAGTTCTCGGAGGACTGTAAGCAGTGAGGGACGGGAGGAGGCCAGGAAGAGAGATATTTCCTTCCCCATCACACACTCCACCCTATCCCTCAGTGACCTGACTCTTCTGACCCAACCCTATCTCCTAACAGTAAGTCAGCTGTAGTGCCTGTATTATCCTATCACCTCTCAAAAGCCTTGCTTCTGAGTGTTTGAAGTTTTGGGGAGACATCTAGATATAAATTGTAACATACCAACATGAATAGCAGCATTATTCACAATAGCTACAAAGTAGAAAAAAAGAATCCAGAATGTCCATCAAAAGATGAATATATTCACAAACTGTATACTCATGTAAGGGAATATCATCCAATCTTAAAACACATCAAATTCTTACCCATGTTGCAACATGGGTGAATCTTGAAAACATTATGTTTAGTGAAATAAGCCAAGTATACAACTGGAATCACAATATTTGGCCTTTGGTATCTAATAACATAGCATAAGATTCACAGAGACAGAAAGTAGAAGGGCCTGGAGGAGGAATCAGGAGCAAATCAGGAATCAGAAGGAATCAGGAGCTTTTTAATGGGTAGAGTTTGTTAGGGATGATGAAAATATTCTTGAAATGGTTAATGGTGATGAACAAACAACACTGCCTCCAAATTAAATGCTCAGGGTTACTATGTAAAATTCTGTTATGAATATTTTACTACAATAAAAAATAAACGCTTACTTTATAAAATGTGGACTACAAGAAAATAAATAAAGAAAATGCCTATTGTATTGTATCCCTCAGAGAGTGATAGTTACTATTAACTTTGAGCTCCAGACTTTCCTCATGATATTTTCTTGAGATGACCTCATAATGCATGGCAATTTATTTCTTTCTCTTGTCTAATTGCTGTGGCTAATGTTTCCAGAACTATATTGAACAGGAGTGGTGACAGTGGACAACCTTGTCCTGTTCCTGATTTTAGCGTGAAAAATTTCAGTTTTTTACTGTTTAGTATGATGTTGGCTGTTGGCTTTTTTCGTTTTTTGTTTTGTTTTGTTTTTTTGGTACTGGGGATCGAACTCGGGTCCTTACATTTGCAAGGCAGGCGGGGGAACCACTGAGTTAAATCCCCGGCCCTGGCTTTTCATAACTAGTCTTTATCAGGTTCAGATAAAGACCACCTATTCTAACTTTCCATAGGGTTTCTTTTTTATCATGAATGGGTGTTGGATTTTGTTGATTTTTTTTTCCCTGCATCTACTGAGATGATCATATGGTATCTTAGTGTTGTTTTAATCTGTATTTCTCTACTAGCTAGAGATGTTGAGCATTATTTTCATATACTTATTGGCCATTTGTATTTGCTCTTCTGATAAGTGTATGTTCATTTCTGTTGCCCATTTTGACTGGATCTTTTATTTGGGGCATCTATTTTTTTGATTCATTTATATATTCAACATAATAGTCCTCTGAGCAGTAGATGGCAAACATTTTTTTTTCTTTTTCTATAGGTTGTCTCTTTACTTTGTTAGTTTTTTCCTTTCCTTTCCTTTAATATAACCCTATTTTATTGATTCCTAGTATTGTTACTTGTGCAACTTGGGCTCTGTGACCTAGGAGGAATAGATGTAACTAGATGTCATAGATAGGACTAGATGTAATAGATGTAACTCTCAAACATGCTAGATATCCAAAATGAAAGTTCATGTTCTCTAAACCTGAAAATGAATTCTAGGAACAATGAAGGGTAAGAGTAGGAAAAATTTATTGAGATAGCTTCTTTCTAAGAGAGACAAAAGAGGGACCCCAAAATGGGTTGTCTACTTCTCAAAGTTATTTTATGGGACAAAGCCACAAGGTGAGGTGGGTTTAATGTAGGTCAACTAGTAAGATTACAAGTACAGTCACTTAGGTAATATTGAATCAATGAGAAATCACAAGGTGGGCAAAACTATGACCAACCAATAAGATTATGACAAGTGTAGTCACTTAGGTTATATCAATTAAATGGGGATCCAATGGGGAAGCAAGTCATGTAGCAATCATCCAAGGATTTTTGATTAAGGATTTTTCCTGGAAGGGGTGGGTAAGATTTTGGTTCCCCACTTAGGTGATTTATAACTATTCAGAATATAAATCACTACTATTCATCCTTAGGGGAAGGATGCAGATATGGTAGTTTCTCTTCTTTTACAATGCTGGCCTTCAGTGAATGTCTTGATTGTCCTCTATGTTGGCTTCTTGAGGGCTGGGCCTATTTAACTGCCTATAAGATACCTTATTAACTTATCTATGTACAATACTTGCCTGTGCCTATGTTTTCAAGAGTTTTACTTATTTTATCTTGCAGATTGTTCCTGTTTTCATATTTAGACTTTTTTTCTTTTTTGGGAAGGGTACTGGGGATCAAACTCAGGATCTTGCACTTGCTAGGCAGATGGCAGAACCACTGAGCTAAATCCCTGGCCCATATTTAGATCTTTGACCCATTTTGCTTTTGGTTTAATACATGGTGAGAGATATGGGTCTAGATTCAATACTCTGCATGTGCATAGCCAATTTTTGAAGCACTATTTGATGAAGAGGCTATCTTTCCCCAAGAGTAAGTTTTTGGCCCCAGATCTGGTAGCTAAATGGAATTGCATTTGTTTGTGCATCCTCTATTCTTATCCACTGATTCTTATTTTTTTCTTTAACCAATATCATGTTTTGGGGGATTGTTTGTTTTGTAACTAGCTTTGTAGCATAACTTAAAGCCCGGGATTGTGATGCTTCCTGCCTTGCACTTATTTCCCAGGATTGGTTTTGCTACTGTAGGTCTCTTTATGTTCCACGTGAATTGTAGAATTGTTTTCTCTAGTTCTGTAGGAATACTATTGGTATTTTAATTGGGATTGCAATAAATCTGTGTATGTTTTGAAGTATAGCCATTTTGACTATATTGGTTCTGTCCAGGAATAGGGTATATTTTTCCATTTTTCAGAAGTTCTCTTAGATCTCCTTTTTCAGATTACTGTAATTTTTGTTGCAGAGGTCTTTCACTTTCTTGGTTAGGTTAATTCCTAAATATTTACATTTTTTTCACACTGTCCTGAAAGATATTTCCCTAATTTATCAATGAGTTTACTATTGGTGTTCAGGCATGCTATTGATTTTTGCCTGTGGATTTTGTATCCTACTTCATTGCTGAATTAGCTTATTCATTCTAGGAGTCTTTTGGTGGTTTTTTGGTCTTCTATATAAAGGACCATATTTGCAATAATGATAATTTGACATCTTCCTTTTATAGCTATATCCCTTTCCTTTCTCTTGCCTGATTGGTCCACCTAATATTTTGAAACCTATATTGAATAGGAGTAATGATAGTGGAATCTTTATCTTTTTCCTGATTTGAGAGGGAAAATTTTCAGCTTCTCCCCATTTAATATGTTGGTCATGGATTTGTGATAAATGGCTTTTACCAAATTGAGATAAGGTCCTATTTTCGTTTTCTCCAGGGTTTTTATCATGAATAGATTTTGGATTTTGTCAAAGCCTTTCTCAGACAACTGAGATGATCATGTGATTTTTTTTTTATTGTTCACATAGTCCATTGCATTTATTGATTTATGTTGAACCATCTGTGCATCCCTGGGATGAAGCCTATTTGGGCACAATGTATGATCTTTTTAGTGATTTGTTGCACTGTTTGCCACTATCTTGTAGAGAATTCCTGCATCTATGTTCATTTTTTTTTGGGGGGGGGCTTGGATTCTTTTCTGGTTTGAGAATCAGGTTAATGATATCTTCCAAGAATGACTTTAGGAATACTCCTTCCCTTTTGGTTTCATTAAAAAGTTTGAGGACTATACCATTAGATCTTCACTAAAGTCCTTGTAGAACTTGGCAGTGAATCTACCAGAACTTGGGCTTATTTTAGTTTATATATTATTATTATTATTACTATTTCTTCAGTCTCATTGCCTGATACTGGCTTATTCAGACTTTTTCTACATTCTTGGTTCACCTTTGGTAGTTCATATGTATCGAGTAATCTATTTTCTTCTAAATTCCCTATTTCTGCATGTCTATTTTTGGATTAAATGTTTTTTTCATACTGCATTATTGTGTTTTGTTTCTTGATCCATTCTGCCAATACATGTCTTTTGATTGGGGAATTGAGACCACTCATATGGAATGTTACTGGAGCAAGATATTGATTTATTCTGGTCATTGCATTATTTTCCTTTTCCTGAGTTCCTCCCCCTGTTCCTTTCTGCTTAACTGCTCACTCTTTTGTATTCACTCTATTAGACTTTTTGGCATTGTTGGTTTCAATGTTCTTTCTAGGATCTCCTTGAGAATCTTTTGGTCATGAATTCCTTGAGGTGCACTTTGTCATGATGATGCTTCATTTTTCTGTCAATTTTGAAAGAAATTTTTGCAGAATATATGTCTAGGTTGGAAGTTATGATCTTTTAGGGCTTGATTTAAGTAATGGCATACAGCAAAACTATTAATAGTAATAACTATGTGACCCTGGGGCTGGGGATTTAGCTCACTGGTTCTACCGCCTGCCTCCCAAGCACAAGGACCTGAGTTCGACACCCAGTACAAAAACAAAACAAAACTGTGTGACCCTGGAAATATCACATAAGTCAGCAACCATATCATCCAAAACATACTGGATATTGACTCAAGAGCCAATAATGTACCACCTTTAACCTTTGAAATCTATAAATAGTATAGTCCTAAAACCAAATACTGACATACAACAAATACCTATAAATGTGATAACTGTACTTCCACTAAGGATAAATATAATTCAACAGTAATAATCTAGTTGACTATCTAAAGGCTGATAAAGCTTAATGTCTATACTTTTCTTTGGAGACAGGGTTTCAGTATGTAATTCAGGCTGGCCTTGAACTCAAGGCAATCCTCCAGCCTCAGCCTCCTGAGTGCTGGGATTACAGGCATGCACCAACAAGCCTGACCTAATGGTTATACTATTTAAAAATATAGTTGGTCGGAAATGGGAAATTGCAAAAACTGAAAAATTAATGGGATATAAAGGAGAGAAAAGTGAGTCAAAGGACCCTATTAAGAAGGATATTTTTAGGATTATATAAAGCTAAAAGAAAAAAAAGAGAAATGGGAAAAAGAAAATGGGTCCAACACCAGGAAGAAAAAAAAAACAAAAAACGCTTTTTAATGAGTAGTTTCCTTCTAGGATCTGAAGTTTGAGAGTAGAGCAAGACTTGGGTTTTCTCCACCCAGTCTTATAGCCTGTGGGTGAGGTGCCTCTACTATTTCAGAGGCCCCTCTGTTTACTCCAGTCTGTGGCAATGCCACTTCTAAGACATGATCCTGCTCATGTTGGTAGATAAGGAAGGCAAGCTGATCTCAGACCTGTGCTTGATAGACAGCAGGTAAGGTTGACTTAATGTTGGCACTTTCAAAGTTAGCTGTTTCTGAGTGCAACTCAGCAGGGCCTCACTACAGGGTGAGACCCCTGTCCTTCTTAGCCTGAGATTAAATTTCTCAAGGATTTCTTTCTAGCCTGCTTTATCCATGGCTGTCTCTCACCCAGTCACTGTGGGAGGCTGGTTTGGGAGCCCTCAAGTAAAGTTCTTAGTTATTTTGAGTGTGAAATTAAAACGATCAACTCCTTTCTGAAAAGACGCTCAATTAAGCACTCTCTGACAATGTGGTAGGTGCCCCCGCTGGAGTCCTCCAGTTGCTGCCATGTAGAAGAATTCTCTTTGGAACAAATTCTGTGCTGCTTTTGCAGTCACAACTGTGGGCTTCCCCACTGTTTCTCTGTGGATCTTCCAGCCCTGAATGCTTACCTTGCTTCTAGGGAACCAGGGAGGGAGTCTAGATTGTTTCACTTTTTCTGAGTTGTGTTCTCTCTCCAATTTCTCTGTAGCCTCTAATTTTCCTGTCAGTTCCTTCCTGATTTCTAGCAATCTACTTTTTCTCTGCCATTGTCTGGATTCTTGATCTCAGAGGCTGAATTTTGTTGCTGCTCACCACTCTGCCATTTTCTTCCCAAGAAACCTGTTACAAAATATATTGGAAATACAAAAAAATTTTTAAAGTCATCCATGATTTACTCAGCTATTTTTATTCCTGGATACTAATATCCAAGAACTGTTTATATAGAACATATTTTTATTTTGGAATATCTATATACTTTTAAATCTCTAGTCTACAGAATAGGGCATGTATTTTTGAAAATAGTTGAATTTTTACAAATATATAGACATCTTTGTATCAACAACTCAGGTTCTGATGGAGAAGTACATTAAATTTATGAAACAATTTGGTTAGACATTACTTTTTCTGTCCTTCCTCTTGAGTTCTTTGGTAGTGTTTCATATTTTCCTATGCAGAAGTCTTACACATTTTGAGTACATTAATCTTGAGGAAACTGATACTCATAGTTTTCATAATTTTCATTTTAATTATTGCTAAAATACAGAAATAACAATTTTATCCTCTTTGCTAAAATCAGAGTATTTCTAATAATTTATATAAATTTTTTACATATATAATCATGTCATCTGATTATTCCTTCCTTCTGAATCCTTGAGCCCTTTTGTCTTTCTTGCACTGCCTACAATCTCCTGTATAAATTTGAAGAGGGGTGGGTACCTTTGATTTTTTTTT